TTCTTGCTGGCGTGCTCCTAAATAGACATGGTCATGGCAGCATTTCCTAGGCTAATAATAAATAAATATGTAGCGCGTTTTAAACCGTTAAGTGTTGTTATATGTGACCCTAAAACTATTTAATTAATAATTCACTTAATATCTGTCTGTAGTTTACGCGAGTAGTACACATTCAAATAACGCTTCAATGGTTAAAAATAATTCCGTTGTTTTGAACAAGTGTAGAGTTGTAACGATATAAAAGCGAATCAATTTTCTTCCAATGTTACATGGATACCTACTGTCCAATAACGGAACACTTGTTCATTAAAATTATATATATATGGAGGTATATATATATATCCATATATATATATATATATATATATATATATATGGAGGTAATTATACACATGTACATTAATATAATTAAAATTTCATAAGTAATAATTATATATTATCTTATCATGCTCAAGTTATGAAGCCATCTTAAAAGGCAATTTCCTATAGATTCAAAAATCTACAGCATAACTCAATGAGGTTATAACAAATTGATAGTCAAAAATTTGATAATAATAATAAAACACTAGACATTTAAAATAATATATACAAATAAAAAATCTAACGTCATCTCCTAGACTATACTACTGTACATAACCGTGAGTGCGCGTAAAAGTGTCACAGCTAAGTCTTCCACGCAAAGATTTACGGATACTTGAAGTATTTATTCCGTTATACGCAGTTTAATGTTCCTACATGTGTTACAGAGATATTGATTGTCTTACAGCTGTATTGGTAAGTCTTTAAGTTATGCTTAAATTAAACTAAGACTTGTTTAAGTAGCCGTTTAGAACAGAATTACTTAGGGAGGTACTATTTAAAATTATATTGATCATGGAGAAAAATTACGTACATTTTTGGTATAAATAGACTAGTCTTACTATTTGCTATTTAGATGGAATTAATACTATAGTTTTTTTTACGATAAAGGAAGCCAAGCAAGCATCAGGTTCCCTTAATGGAAGGTGAAAAAAAAAAAAAAAAGGGGGGGGGGGGGGGGGGGGGGGGGAAGGGAAAAAAAAAAAGAAAAGGAAAAAAAAAAAAAAAGGGGGAAAAAAAAAAAGGGGGGGGGGGGGGGGGGGGGGGGGGGGGAAAAAAAAGGGGGGGGGGGGGGGGGGCCCCCCCCCCAAAGAAACCCCCCCCAAAAGGGGAAAAAAAAAAAAAAAAAAAAAAAAAAAAGGCGGGGGGGGCCCCCCCCCGGGGGGGGGGGCCAAACCCCCCCCCCCAAAAAAAAAACCCCCAGTCCCCAGGGGAACCCCCAAGGTTCCGGGAAAAAAAAAAAATAAAAAGAAACACTAATAGGGTGGGGATCGAAGCGACTATGAATTAATTATTGGTGGATGACATTGGATGGTGATTTCCCCCCTTTTAAAACCCAAAAAAAATTTATTTTTTTTTTTTTTTTTTTATTTTTTTTATTTTTAAACATACCCAAAGACCCTGTCGTAGTTAAATAATGTAACTAATATAAGTCGCGTATTAAACCGTTAAAAGTGTTTTATTTAATAGGAATCCCGTAACTCTACTACGACCCTTGTAGACCATTGACTGTTTTCTGCGATTAATTAGAACCTATATTATTGAGTAAAATCAGCAGTCCCCAGTGACCGTTTGATATCATGTAGGAGTAAGTACGAATTGCGCTCAGGAAATGAAACGTGCCGAGTAATTTATAGCTCACGAACACCCAGCTTTACCCCACTTATCATTTACGCCCATCAGATACTACATTTCCTCGGATTTAAAGTTTTTAATGGAATTTTCATGAGATAACGCTGAAATTGTTATGACTGCATCGTTTTTGCGTTCCCAAATTGTTCTTCAACAAAAGATAGTTTATAAAGTTGAGTTTATTGTACAGAAGGTATGCGAAACGCTCTTAGTCGAGTTTATTTAAATAGACGCGTTCTTTGATCTAATGCAGGGGGTCGTGGATTCGATAACCACTGAAACCTCCTTCCCTCTAATGATTCCTCTGGAAATCTGGTCATATTAAATTAGTGGATATAACGAGCTCAGTGGTTCAATAGTAGCAATATACGGTAAATAATCAATTGATAGTCGCTTTGATCCCCACTGTATCAGTGTTTCTACATAATGTATATTTTTCCGGAAACATGTTGGATTCCTCTGGAGATCTGGATATTAAATTGCTGGTAGGCCGTTATGAACCACGGTTCACAGATGATAAGATCGAGAAGTTCAGTCGTATGGATGTCCAAATATCCAAAGCTAAAATAGGTCGACTGCGCACTTTCTCGAGATTATATATGGCGGAGGAATTTGACCCTGCTTCTAGCGAACCTCTAGCTTATCTGTTCTTATCTATCATTAAAAAATATATTCTAAAACACTTTCTTCTCTAATAACGTTATACCCAGAGCCGTATCGATCGCGTCGATAATTCCAAGTGTATTGGGAACAAACAGGTGTTTCATTATTTATTCTTTTCATTTAATATTCATTGGAAAGACTCGACGTCGCTAAAAGAGATTATGTTAAGTTTTAAGTAGATGAGGCAAAATACAGTTGCACCGATCAAATAGGATTGGATTCACTTAATGAAAGATTGAAATATCCCTGACCGTATAAACAAGATGCGCTATCGGCCTATTTTGGCGTACACATTTAAATACACCACTTTAACGGTTTAGAACACCAAATATATTAGTTAAACTTAAATATTTAGCGCTTTAAAGCGTTAAAAATTATAAAATGATCAGAAACATAATGCACCAGCTGGGTTCAAACCCACGACCCATTGATTATTAGCCATGCATTGTTACCATTAGACCAAGGAATCCGTCAAATCTATTGACTAATATCTAAAAATTCTAAACAAGATAAGACTATAAGAATAGGCCGCAATTAGCTATTCAATCTTGTTAGCGTGTCTGCGTATACGCAACACCAATAAATCAAAACATTGGGCATCAACAAGAGCACAATGAGAACCACCAATCGCTTCGAAAACACGGAGCAATTATCGCGACGTGTATGTACGGCGTAGTATATCTTTTAGGGAATTTGTTTTGTCATGACAAATGGGTGAACCATCAAATCTAAGATATACGAGTACTCATGAAATCCATTAGGCTAGGCCCCGATTTAATTCAATGTTAGGCGCAAGTAAATCATCTGTGGATATTAAATAAATGTCGGAGCCGCGACTTGTAGATTTATTGTCTATATTTCACGAGAACACGCCTTATACTGTTATAAATTGTGTTATGTCAAGTTTAACTTATAATATTATATTTATTGCGTATTGGATTTAATTAAAATAAAAACACTAACAAGATGCAATGAATTGTACAGAATTGATATCCTTTTTATTCTTTAAGAAAATCCGCGACAACAATAAAATATACAGTACATGGTTCATGGTATCTATCTAATTTGATGACGAAGACTTTGTTTGATAATTGGTTTTTTGTATGTTTGAACGCGCTAATCTCCTGTTCGAATTGAAAAAAATATTTTCGTGATAATGAGAGGTAATGTACCATTGGTAAAAGATTAGTTAAAAAAGGCAAAGGGTTCTATACCAAAGCCAAAATACATACATGGTTACATATATGGTTGAGGTATTTCGTACTTCCTTCTTTCAACTCCATGCTTATATTTCCGCGTAAGATTTTGCGCTAACTAAGAATAAGAAAGAAAATATTTACGTTACTAAGAATTTAATATTTAAAGTAAAAATTCTTGTAAACTGCCCTGAGCTTAAAAGGAAACGGGAATATTCGTAGAAAATTTTAATTTTAGGAAGGATGGTCACGGTTCAAACGAGACTCAAAGTAGGTTATATCAAAATAACCAGCGGAAATATCCAAATTATGAGCTTTGACGGAGTGTTGCATCACGGCACAGAGTAAATACAACAGTAGAGACTTAAATATTAACAGTGCTACTTTCATATGGCACAGTGTATTAAAAAGAAGTTCAATTATGTAGAAAATTAAATACCTCAAATTAATTTTATAATTATTTATTTCCGTCTACTTTTATAAGGCTTCAAGTAAAAGGCATTAAATGTTAAAAACATGAATATAGCTATCAACAATTTGACCCCATATGTTATAGGTTATATCATTTCTGTTATTTGTACCAAAAAACAGTGCATATTTCGATTTCGAAATATCAGTAAAGAACGTTATTCCTACTGTTCGTTTTACTCTGTGTCCCATTTACACCGGATATGATTTTATGCAGTATCAAATATTTATTGACGTTTTTATTTCGCTCGTTTGTGTTTCACCGATATATTATTCTATTTAATATTCATAGCTGTAAAACGACAGGTGTCCGACATTTTGTTTCAATCTCACGCGATTTTATTTCACGTTTTGTTGCATCGTAAACTTATCAACCATTAGAATTGATGTAAATTAATTTTACTAGTGTATAATAAAGACATTCAATACAGTTATCCGAATTAATTTTGTTTTAACGGCTCTATAACGTAACGAAAATGAAGCAATTCGTTAAGATTAAGATTTTGTTGTAATATATTGAACTACAAAGGAAACATTTCAATTTTACATTAGGTTAAAAATATTTGTTTTCTCAATTTGTCCCATAGCTATTTTAGGTAGGCTAGAAAGACCTTTTGCTAGTCAAACTACAATATGGTTGCGTATGTACTTACATTAAAGTCTTATTTAAATTTTAAATTAAGACCTTTTCACAACATTTTCATGTTTCAATCAAATATAATCGTACAGGGTCCTAAAATTAGTATACGCTACGTCCGAAAAGTTTATACGCGAATAACACACATTTAACGGTTTGAAACGCAATATATATTAGTTAACCTTATTTGGAAATGTAACTACGGCCAGACGTTCCGGATGCTTTGCAGCAGCCGTGGTCACGGGGAGACTAAAGATTCCCTCACCTTTTTCAAAAACTGCTATCCCAGGCAGTGTGTTTAATTACAAAATACATTAAGTACTTACAAGCTAATTCCACGATCGCCGGCTGACTCCTGATATCGCCCCGACTGCTCCAGGCGTGGCATCTACATGCGAAACGATCTTCACCAAAATACTCCTCCAAATTGTCCCTCGTAACATTGCACTCCGCTTCGACAATCCTGATCCCGCTTTGGGGGTCCACGAACTCGAACTGAGTGCTGCCAACGGACCTGACGTCGTTGCACATGAAATACACTTGCAACGCATTCGCTGCACGACACCTCAACGTTGCCGGTTTATTCCGTACCACATACGCATGCTGTGGTTCCAGCAGAAACATCGGAAGTTCCGAAGAACCCTGAAGTAAGTGGTCACCGGAAAGAGACGGCAACTCATCCGCGTCGTCTCTGTTGTCATGGTCGTCGTCTTTATGGCCCTCGTGGTCATAGTCTTCTTCCAAATAGTCTCTGTGGGGTGGTGGGTTCTTTTCTGAATTGTATGGGTCTAGCGCTTCCACACCAGCTGGATGAGCGTACTCAGGTCTGAGAGGGATGGGTGGTGTTTGCGCTGTTGTGGTGTTCTCTGAGTCTGTGGAGCTGGTGTCATCTGGAACAAGTAAATCTTTCTTAGTATCGTATAAATGTTAATCGTAGTCAGAATTTTGCTTAAAACTTGTTACAATTGAAGCTCTGAGCTTTGAGAGACACAAATTTACTATCTACTGCTCCTAAAACGTAATAAGACCAAATCTGTAATAATGCAATGGATACTTTAATGTAAAAACTTAAAAAAAGATAAATTAAAAGCAAATTATAATACTTCCAAAACTGGCGAGCCCTGACATGCTATTATTTTATCACTCTGACGGTCTATATATATATGTGTGGTATTCACGTTTGATTGATTGACATTCGGTTAGTTCTCGGTTGGAGTTAAATTTCACACCAATAAGTAATATCCGATATTATGGTCAAATTATTAGTTACTCCAACAATTTGACATATTGTCTGGTAGATGGTGAATATATCAATTAGTAAAACTGATGTAAAAGAGAACTAAATAAATAGAGTTAAGCCAGTTAGGAGCCCGCAGCTTACAAAGCTAAGCAGACAAGGCAAATCAAGCTTCTGGGAATTAGGAGTATTAACATTAAGAGCACAAATAACAACCCCTAAATAGTAGTGAGGCGTGTGCCAGTTATAAACGACGTCTGTCATAATATTCTCTCCCCAGAGCGACCATCGATTTCTCGAGTCTGCACCTGGTTGACGCCTCACTCGCGCCTGTTTACACGCAAAACATAGATATTTGGATACTGTATAACCCACTTTACCAATTCCACAAACGGCATCCGAAATTGAGCTTAATATTTTAGGCGGAGAGTCGCTTTTTCAATAACCAAAATCGCGAAGCACCCTCAAAATTTCGCTCAGAAATCGTTATCAGGACATCAGTGTATGTTCCTCGAGCGGTGTTGACAGCGATACTGAGTATTGTGTTACTGTTTGAAATGCGGAATGATACGAAAATAGACCGCAAGTCGCGAGGCTTGGATAACTTAATTAGTCTCGCTTCTAAAAATCTATTTCGGATTTCCAGGGGATGTGATTTCTTTGAGCTTCTCTTTCGTTAATGAGATTTTGCAGCTGGGCTATAAATTTTGAATTAATTGCATTTTCATCTATGTACCAAATAACAAACACGTTTAACTGTTTGAAACGTGAAATAACTTTTCAACTACGACACGAATTTTTGGATGCTCTACAGTCGTGGTCACGACCTGTAGATTACAAAATAGAAGCATTTATTACTTTAACTCTAAAACATACAAAATCGCTTTCAAAGAAAGGAATTGAATTCAAAATACGACTCTGAATTGAAAAAAATTACGACTCGGGTCTTGCGCCGGCATCCTCAGCGTTACGTGTCTGTTTCTCTAACCAATTGAGCTACCGAATCCCACACGTCACCGTCATCATGTGCAGTAACATGTGAAAAATATCAAAGTTTAATGACATATAAGTAACTATATGTTGAAATTGATTTTAGGATACTTGTCAATTGTTTACAGCTGTACGTAGTAGACTTTAGTGTACATAGAAGATTACCACAGCAGTTATATGTATCGGCGTAAAGCGTATACCAGAGACACATAAGATTGAAATGCGTACCGGCACAAGAGAAACGCGAAGTTAGAATTTCAAGAACGGTACCATCAATATTTACGAAGGCATTACGACGGAATATCGCATAATGAGCTTGAATCAATTACGGAACAAAGAGAGGAAGACTAATCGTTCGAGTTTGGTCCTTTAAGGTTTTAATGTGATAAAATGTTATGGCGCATTGAACGTGAAAAATATTGAAGTCTAAATACAGTTTCAATAGTTTAAAACTAAATATATTAACTAAACCGTGTAAATTGTTTTACTTAATAGTAAAGAATCTTTAAAAGCTTAGACTTCATAATTTTCGGGTTTCAAAACGTACTGACCATAGTGTAATAACACTTAAACTTCTATAACGATCGGGGTTTGAATCCCGCCTCTCTAATTCTTTTCTATCTTAAATATATTTTTTATTTGTTTGTACAACTTTTTCAATCATATTCATGTTTCAAGGTACATTATTATTATTAAATTTTATGTTGATTAGTTTCAATATCATACAGTATTAGTTGAACATATTATGTGTTATTTCATATATGATATATATATATATTGCATTTAGTATCTTAATTGTACGTTGACACGACCTGGCAGAATTATCGATTATTCCGTGAATATGTTACATCACTTTGGAACTTTCCCTTATAAATATTAAAATAAAGCGAAACGTGTACATCACTAAGGTGTATAATCTATACTAATATATAAAGCTGAAGAGTTTGTTTGTTTGTTTGAACGTGCTGATTTCAGGAACTACATGTTCGAATTGAAAAATTCGAACCTGAAGTTCTTGTAGTTAGTTTGTTTTGTGTTGGTTAGAGCATTTATCGAGGAAGGCTATAGGCTATAAAACATCGCCCTGTGACTAATACAAGCGAAGAAACAGCGAGGAATGTGAAAAATATTAGGAAAATTATGGGTTTCCGAAGCGTACGCTGCATTATCTGTTCCAGATACCCAAAAAATATGTATAAAAGAATGATTTCTCTTTAAATGATCTAAAGAAAGACCAAGAGCGACGGGAAGGGCCCGACCGAAGTCGTGGATAAACAGCTTAAGTTTATAATTATGATGGGGATTGCAAAGACGAATTTGCAGCCCAAAATTAATAACACAAAATTCTCGCGCCTAAACCTGGAACATTAATAAAAAGAACAATTATTTAAACTTTTAAAGAAAGAATTAGTAGATATATCTAAGTACTTCTTTCTGTAAAATATATTTATTTTGTTAAAAGTTAAAAGTATACCTACTCGTAAAAGAACAATTTTAAAATATTTTTAAGTACTTTATTCTATGCAGGTGGAATGTACCCACCATGCCAATCTGTGATTAAATAACCTGCGTTATTTTAAGCACTTCCACATTTTTTGGAAAATAATATTGTTTTACATGGTCGAAAAACTATAACCCACCATGCCAATCCGTGATTGACCAAAACAATCTGTGCCTTGTTTTAAGCAATTATTTTTTTTGGAAAGTAATATTGTTGTACATGGTTGCAATATTATGACCCACCATGCCACACTTTGTTTATCTAAATTCTAAACAATCTGTGCGTTGTTTTAAGAATTTACTAATTTTTGGTAAAGTTAATTTGTTTTTGTGGTCACAAAAATATAACCAACCACGCGTATACATAATTGTCGAATCAATGTGTGTTAAATTCTTTTAAAGTCGGTTAAGTGTAGTTTACACTCAACGAATGAGGAATTTAATCAATATTCGTATCAGAGCGCGTTACACACACTAAACTGACGTGGGTTTATCAATTAAATATTCTATTAAGAGAAGCGTTTGATTAACGCTTACCAAAGCTTATAACATCAAGCACAGAATACTGAACGCACCAGACGGAGTGTTTGATTACATTATACGTCTGCATTTCCATTTGTTTCGTTAACACCTTACTCCAATTTGGAGTACTCGCGACGACCTCACTTTAGAGCCGAATAAATGTTGTCGGCTAGTGTTCTGTGCCAATGGCATGCGCAACCTCTGCATTTTAATTGCGTTTGCTTTGATAAACGACTTTCTATGCCTGCAATAAATTTCTTTTCTATATGCGATAAGCATTAATTTAATTTTAAAATCTCGGCTTTGAATATTTCAAAGCTAAACTAACTGTAACCAGCAATTTTTCCAAAAAATAAAACGTGAAAGAGTTCTTAGCAATATTCTTCGCAAAACGGTATATCAATATTGGTCGAGCCGTTTGACTGTGATAAAGCTAGAGAAATTGATAGATTAAGTACTTCCTCTAGTTTATGCGTGTCGTACACATTAAAATAAAACACTTTTAAGTTTTTATTTTAATGTGTACGAGTTTGTTTGTTACGTTTATAACGCGAAATGTATTAGTTAAACCTAATTACAAATTATTTTACCTACGCCCCAACGTTTCCGATGCTTTGTAGCAACCTTGGTCTCGGAGACTACTTGAAGGGTGCCTCTAATGTGCAAGGACCCGGACAGTTTCGTCGATCCCGACTACGACCAAACAGATGGCGCTAGCGTAGCAGTTTTTTCTGTGACATAAGAAACAGTCTCTACGTTTTCCCCCGCGACCACGACAAAACATCCTTAACGTCCGCCCGTAGTTAAATAATTTCAATTAAAACATTTCGTCTTTTAAACCGTTAATAGTGTTTTATTTAAATATAATTGTTCAACTGTTATGGGTGCAAAATTTTATATTAATAATAAAATGAATCATATTACTTAATTTTTTAAAAACTTCCCACAGCTGGGAATGTACCCTTTGATGTCTAACTACAATTTTAATAGATTCTGTAATACTAATTGTATTATTGACTAACGTTTTTTGTTTTACAACCATTATCGTAATCTAAAAGCTATTAATTTTAAAGTTCAAATTCTTTCGTCATTCCGCCCTTTATTTATCACGATTCTCGTTATCTTGTTACGAAAGTAACCGTTTAAAGTGTTACAATAGCTCGAATAATACTACGTTATAGCTCATTATGAGCCGTTAAGCTATTATAATTTGTTTTATCGAATTATTAGTTGTAAGCCTTAACTCCTGTAATCAAACAATTGCGGCACGAATTTTTATAGGAACATAAGATTTAATAATAGTAGATAAATTATTTTGAAACGTTTATTATGATTTATTAGTTACAATTTATTACTGGTATCCTCTCGCGTAGGAGAGGATTTTATGAGCTTTAGCCCACCCCTCTGGCCCAGTACGGGTTAACAGGCTGTAACAACTACCGCCACTAAATTAGTGTTGTTGGGACTGACTTTTTGTGGTAATGAAGGATGAGCCATCAAACTTCTAAACGGCTGATTACTAGTTATATTCTTAAAATTCTAAATAAGTAAGTAAAACAAATATAACCCAAACCAGAATTCGAACTCAGGACGTGAAGTCAACCAATAGACCAACGAGACAGTTATACAAGCTTATTCATT